ACGCTAGACTAGTAACTACATTTTTTAAACAACGTTAGCGTAGTAACTATACTTTTTAGACAACGCTAGACTAGTAACTACACTTTTTAAATAACGTTAGCGTAGTAACTATACTTTTTAGACAACGCTAGTTTAAAAAGTGTAGTTACTAGTATGTTGTTTAAAAGTGTAGTTACTAGTCTAGCGTTGTTTGAAAGGTATAGTTACTACGCTTACGTTGTTTAAAAAGTGTAGTTACTAGTCTAGCGTTGTTTAAAAGGTACAGTTACTACGCTAACGTTGTTTAAAAAGTGTAGTTACTAGTCTATCGTTGTTTAAAAGGTATATTTAGCAAGTTGAACGTTGAACGTTAATTAAACAACGTTTCAATCTATCTCTGTATATCTTCATTAGATGTGATACATGGAAGATAACTGGAATTTGACCGAAACGTCGTCTACTCTACAGTTCGCCTGACAGGTTGTTCGTTTCAACAATTTTCAAGAGCAACACCATGATTAATGCTGTCTATAAGTGGAGGCTAAGCTAATAAATTGCTATTAATCTATAGAAGACAGCACTTAGTCACTATTGTAACCAAAAATTAAATACAGATAATTATTAAATAATGGAATAAGATTGCCTTATGGCTGGTGAATCACCGATATCCTACACAGCTCCAGAGATTGCACATGAATATGTAGAACACCCTCTCTCACTCACAGCAATTTATTGAATCACACTGTATGAAAGCATGACTAATATTCCTAACGATAATCAAGTAATTAAGTAAGTTTGAAATAACGAATAAAACAGTGTTGTTATCATTATAGAAATTTTATGTGGACTTCATGGGTAGGTTAGAGAACGTGTGAAATATTTTTCTAAACACACACACACATACATTTCACATGCTTGTTTCCTATTTCTGTGTATTTTAATTATCCACATCTCTTTTGTTAACCGTTCAAAACATGTGAATTACAACCATATCGCCACGAGGAACTTACAATGACCAGCTTTAAAAAACAGGTTATTAATTTTACTAATTTGATCAAAGAAGATATTTTTTCTAAATATTCTACTCGCCGGTACTTATTAATTAAACGCGCAACCTTTTTATTCATGAAGTAATCCAAAGGATCGTTAGAAAACACATATACTTCAAACTGATCATTTCTTACTTACCGAATATTTTACAGGAACATTTCTGGCTGACAATCCGCATACTATAAATAGTGGAATAAATGGGAAAATTATTGGAAATAAAAATATTATTTTACTTTATATTTGAATTCGATGAAAAATTTAATCAGGGCCATAATTTTCATTTCGGCTAATAATTTAGGTAGGATGTTGATTAATGTTTCACAGGATATAAGTAAACAATTAAATAGTCATTTCTATTTCCAGTTTTGTTTCACACATTTCCATGATTTTCAGTAGAAATATAAATTATTTTTTGATTTTTCTGAGCAAAGACAACGTTCAAAAGCCTACTATTATAACTGATTATTAATTAAATATATGACATTAGTGAAGTAATAACTGAATAGTGTTGTATTACGTAGTGTCTAATGTATACTTTTACGGGCGTTTGTGCGTGGGAAGCTTTTTAAGCTTCATTAAATTCTGAAAAAATAAAATTAGGAGTAGAGAAGTATAAACGACGTCATTATATGCGTAAGGAAGTGATGGGTATAGATAGTACTATGCATTGCAAAGGGAAAATTACTTGGGGAATGGATCTGTCATCCCTCAGAACCCCGTGTCAGACAGCAGTTTTTATGCATTAAGGTTTTGAGTGTGATTTTTTTTATAAGCACTTAAAGTATTAGTAACGAACGTCACCGTGCTGTATAGGGACGTGGGAACAATAATATCACTGAGTTTTAATACCTTCCCCCAATACACAGGTTATAAAAGTGTCTCTAGACTTGGTGGTTTTTATTAGATAAGTCGACCGGCTTGTCATTTTTGATCAGATCATTCGGCTCAAAGTGTATTTTGTTCTAGAAATGTTTAGTGGGTATCACGTATTATGGAGTAGGTTTAACCTCACAGTCACTAAGACGCCTCACACGGCCACCAGATTCGCTTAGAACTCTGTTTGTACCTAACCTCCTTCTCCTACGTGAGTAGTCTATTCAGGTGACTTAACTGTTTTAATTACTTTAAATACACAACACTGCTTTTACATTTTATAAAACTTGTGCATTCAATTACAAAATATCACCCCCCCCCCCCAAAGAAAAGTTTCCTACACGAAGCACGGTTTTGCACCTAGTGTTTGATTAATTCAGTCAGCTACAAATACCTAATAATCATTACATTATTAAATTATGGCCACAAAAAAAATACCTTTATCGATCAGCAAATACCGCTAATCCAAGAAAAACACCTTTCAAACTTCAGTGTTAAATTTTTGGAGTAAACATGCCCGCCAGTGGCACAAAGTATGTCTGCGGACTTATGACGCTAGAAACCGGGTTTCAATACCCGTGGTGAGCAGAACACAGATAACCCATTTCGCAGCTTTATGCTTAACTTCAAAACAAAACAGTAAAACATAATAGAAACTTGCACGTGTATCACGACCTGTAATAAAAAGCACCATCTAACGGTGTTAAAATAAGTTTTATAAATTTTTCTGTTTATCAAAAATGGATTACGGACAGTGTGTTTTTATTTGGCAAATTAACTAAGTTCTCCTTCAAATAATATTATGAAGGATTTTAACATTAATTAGAAAAATGGCCCAATTTTATGAATTTCAGTTTTGATTAAATTAAGACATTTCCTGCTTTTTAATGAGTAGGTGAAACTTCAAACTTTTGAATTAATTTGTTATTTACTTTCACTTGTAGTAATTAGAAGCTGATTTTTACTACGGAGAAGTAAGTATGTACAAGAGAAGCCTTAGAAAAATATAAATATGCCAATAATTTTTTATTTTCTTCTGATATTCAATGTCACAAGTAGGCGTAACATAATTCAATTCAAAATTAAAGTCTAGCACAGCAGAGAAGATAGATATAGACTGATATAGATATTTTATTACTCGACATAGTCTGTACAGTTCTTTCATTAGCTTATCAACAATTACTTTGAAATGTAATGTTCTGTGCATTCAGTAATTTTTTAATTAATATGAGACCTTTCAATTCTTCCGCGTGGCCTAGTTGGTTAGAGTATCGGGCTGTGGAAACCGAGGATCTAGGGATTTCGATATACTACCAGCACGTTTTGCACTTTCAAAAGTTGATGCATTATAAGAGTGATAGTCTATTCACCTAAGAGTATCCGCCTCAGGCGACGTGTGCTTCCGACTAATTTCTTTTCCTCTAGTCTGCAGTTTAAAGTTATGGACAACTATGCCTGAACCACAGAAAAATTGTACGTCTGTATCAAATAAGCTCATGTTGGTCCTGTGATAGAACTCTGGATTTTGAAGCTGACGTGCTGTGTTCGAGCCCATGCAATACCACAAAATATCCATCGTAGCTTAAGCTGTAGGTGCATTAAAAGAGTGGCAGCCAATCTTTTAGCATAAATGACTGCGTTAATTCTGAGCTAGTTAAGAAAAATTTGGGAAGAATAAAGAACGATAAGGCTCCTGGGCCAGATAATATTTCACCAAGCGTTTTGAAGGAGATTAAAGATTGGATATGTGAGCAACTTATTACTATTTTTTGAAAGTCCTTGAATAGTAGGTAGGTACCCAAAGATTGGAAGTTAGCTAATGTCACTCCTCTTTTCAAGAGAGGTGATAAAAATTGTCCCAGTTATTATAGGCCCACTAGTCTTACGTCAATTGTGAGAAAAGTTTTGGAAATTCTGATAAAAGATGCTTTGCAAAGTCATTTAACAAAGTTTAGAATGTTATTGGATAGTAAACATGGTTTCACTAAGGGAAATCTTGCCTTAAAAATGTTTTGACATTTTTTGAAAATGTTACTACTTATGTAGATGAGGGTAGAGTGTATCTGGATTTTCAGAAAACATTTCACAAGGTGCCCCATAAAAGGCTTGTAAAAAATATTTCTATAGGTGTGGGAGATAAGTTAGCAACTTGGATAGAAGAGTAGTTGGATGGAAGAAAGCAGAGGGTTGTTAGAAATGTAGTTCAGTCAAACTGGATTAATGTGGTGGGCGGTAGGGTGTAGTTCAAAACTAGGGACGGCAGCAGTTCGTCTTAATAGCCTTACTATAAATACATAATACAAATACTTTAATGAATCTTTATAGAGTATGTAGGATTCAACGTACCCTGTGAATGATAAACGCTGTTTGCAAAGAGCTTAACATTGACGACCGAAATTCACAACTTACTGAGTTACTACTAACGATGCTTTTACATTAATTCGACATTTTTAATGGTTCTCAAGTGAAATTTAATTGTATTTCTTTGTTTTAATGTAAGTTAGTCAAAAGATGAATGATAAAGGCTTGTATAGTAGGCCTACATCTTTAAGTTCGTATTATTGTGTAAGCTAAAAAAAAATCGATTCTTTGAGTTAAACCTAACGTCTATAAGCAGCTGATGTAAATTAATATCTCAGCTTCTTGGATGTACATATGAATTGCGAAGTGAATAGAATAATTGCCAATAATGATGGGAAATACCTCTAAACACTGTATCATCCTCAAATTTCGTTTATATTCCTGAGAAAATTTGACTATTTATATTCCAATGTTCTAAGAAGTTAACAGACTTTTCCTTATTTTAAAATGTATACTGTCGTCAAGTTTCTTTAGAAATAATTTTAAATGTCTATAGTCTTTCTTAACCTTGTTCACATTCGATGAAGAATTTTAAAACTGTTGCAAAAACGTGCTAAAACAGTTTCTTCTTTGCCTTTTTTTATCAGTGTAATTCGGAAATGGATGTGTAATGATATCATGTTGGTTGTGTATGTGGTATTGAAGTTCTATACAAGTTTCTTAACATGGCAAACGAGTTGAATTTACTTGTCATTGTGGTCTCAATAAAACTCGTTTTTTTTCTGTGTGTTTGAAAGACTGACCAGAATGTGTGCCTCGACAGAAGAGATTAGGAAAAGGTGGCATCTTTCGCTGGCAAACAACCGAGTTGGAATTGTAATTTCTTTGAGAAAGTGGGTTACAGAACAACTGACGCATTTCTGATGGTGTGTTATTTTAAGATATTTGTGAAGCAATAAGAATGCAAGTGTTGTTCAGTTAAATGAATACAAAAACATTCAGTTGATATTTATCCTTTTTATTATTCTGTATTTTGTTATTTTGCATCTTGATTTGCACGTTTAGAATATTATACGTATTGTTCCATTAGTATGATGAGCTGTATACTCTTTAACATATATATTAAGTCAATCTTTTCCAGAGAACCTTTCAAGTTCTTCCTGTTGTACTCTCCTCACTCCACAAAAGTTTTTCTGTCGGATTATTTGGAAACAGTTGATCTTCTTGGGTTCTTGGACGATTTCAGCCCTAGGCCCCTGGAACATTCCACATCCTGAATATGCCCCCCTCATCCATTGAACGTATAGATACTGCCTACCTTAACAGTATTGTGTATTTTGAGTATTTGCTACAGCCTCATAACACTTTCCTGCACCCCGTGGGGGGGGGGGGGGTTCGCGTCCTTCAGTTTGGGATTCCTGGTTTAGAGAAACTGAAGGGTGCTGATGTCCATATTTATTGCTTAAAGCTTGCTGGTGACAACCTCATAACTCTTATATTATTTCTTGATTTTTTTTTTTTATCATCCAATGCAGACCCGTGTCAATGGCGTCTAACTCTGTCAGAAAGTAAATGTTAAACGTATGTTGTTTCTTATCTGTGTTCTAAAATTTCGTCCATACATTTTCATATCGGATTGAAATACTTGTGTGATTCTAAACACATTGGGCTGCCATTAATAGTACGGTAAACAAGAATAAATATTTCTAGCTTCTTCCAGAACAAATCGGTCATCATGTAAAATACATTTATAAATCCTTGGAAACACTCACCATTCGAACATATTTCTGGGTTAATCAACAGCAGGAAGTTTTAAAGTTAAGCTATTATGACCTATTTTAATACAGTTCTTGTAATTTTATTTTTGCATCATAAATACGATACATTCCCATTACCAATAAAATTACGTTCAATTGTTCAAAATTATTATCTTAGAAACTAATTAACACAATAATAATACCCCATTTTTTGATGAAAGAAAATAGAATAAAACATTTCTTTCAACTTTACTAGTTAGTTTCATAAAGTGTTGTACTTGTAAGTGCCGAAATTATTTTACTAGCACACTTGAACTTGCCTTCTTCTTCTTTTCTTTTCTGTGTGAAAAGTTAACATTCAAACCACCAAGTAATTTTAGTTGTCTAAAGAAAATTCCAGTTAAGAGTACAATGAAAACCGTTTTAACAATATGAAACTCTAGGCTCTTGTTTCCACTTTTTTTTTTTTCTATCATGAGATTCAAGTCGTTATTCGTTATGTTTCAAATTAAATAACTTACGTGGTTAATATCATTATACGTAACTCTGAAACGGTCACCATTATTCAATTAATCAAAATTATTTCTGGTTTTAGAGAAAATAGTTATACATAATTTATTTTATTTAATAACTTACCAACTCCGTTTGATGTATCTTATTTAATAACTTACCAACTCCGCTGATGTATTTTATTGATGCGCCGGGTGTGACCTAATGGTGAGCGTGCCCAGACTGTGAATTTGAAGGTTCGTGGACTAAGGTCAAGTCACACTATTCGGTTCAAACAAAAGTAGCCCAAGCGTTGGCGGTATGTTTGTTTGACTAGCTGCTTTCCCTCTAATTTATTAGTTCAACGTTAGGGATGGCTATGCGCCTATAGCCCTTGTATATCTTTGCTTTGTTTGTTTGTTGTTAAGCGTAAAGCCACACAATAATCTGTATGTGCTATGCCCACTATAAGTATCGAAACCCGATTTTTAGCGGCATGAACCCTCAAACCTACCGCTGAGCCACTTGGAAGCGTATAGCCTTAAGCGAAAATTCTAAAAATATAAATTTAATACAGACATAAGTTGTATGTATTTTTAATTAAATATCTGACATAAAGTAATATAACCCTTACAGTACTATTAGGTTATATTTGTACCAACGTATGTTTATGCAGAACTGGTGGGCGCTTCAGTCCTTTTGTTGTATCCTAGGCTACTTATCTTTTCTATTTTAAGGACACAAAAGTCGTTATTTTGCATTTGCGATTTTGTCTGTTTAATATTGATCCCCAAAATTGATTTCAATCATTTCTGTGGTCATATTGCTAGGTGTTATGTAACAATCATATTTTCTTGCAAATACTATGAAACTCTGAAACAAGATCTTGTAACGTATGTGTGTTTATAGTGATTAGTTTCATTTTTCGCTTGAATTTACAACTGGAAGAAGTGATAGTGAAGTTGATAGTAGACTCCCCTTTCTTTGCTCTAACTCTTTACGTATTCCGGAAATCCTTCGTTCCAGCTTCCTGTGCCTAAATGGAGGTTAATGACAGCAGTCGCTTAATCCGTTAAAAGTGCGTTATTAAAAAAAATAAAAGGTAGTATCAAACGAATTGACATATAAGTGATACTTATCATGAATTTGTTTTTCGTTAATTCTAAAATAATGGATTATTGTAAGTATGTCTCATATTCATCAATTCTTTCACTTGCTTACTCTCATCCCTTTTTTTCTAGGGAAAGGTGGTCAAGTGACACCAGCTAACCTTACTATTGAGTTCAGGATACTGTACGAAAAGTGAATTTCCTATGAAAGTCGTGAAAGAGTTATGTTGCCAAGTTTTCTTCCATTAATCAAAATGTTTGATTCAAAGAACAAACAACTGGTAATAAATAATATATTTTCTACCTTAATATACACTTCAAGGTCACATATCCTTTTACCATCACAGGAACAAGTATTTATATGAGGAAAACGTTGCTGGTTGTCATTGAAATATAAGGAATACTCATATTTAAATAATATTAATACTTAATAATGTGTTCTCACAGAGGCGACACCAGCCTCTTCCTGGTGAGGAGGATGAGGCGGGCTCAACAAACATTAGAGGGGAGATGCACTCTACATCTTGTAGTCACATATATTGTAGTATTTAGGAAGTGAACAGACTTTGGCAATAAGCATTGTTCATTAATGCTGCAAAGATTTTCATGACTATGATGATCCTATACTTCCAAGATACATATGTTCGCGCCAATGCTTAAGTTGAATTTGTTTGTTTGTTTGGAATTAAGCACAAAGCTACACAATGGGTTATCTGTGCTCTGCCCACCACGGGTATCGAAACCCGGTTTCTAGCGTTATGAGTCCGCTGACATACCGCTGTGCCACTGGGGGCCTTAAGTTGAATAACCCAACATTCAGAAAATAGTAGATAAATAAATAAATAAATAGCTGAATGACTCTAGGCGAGGGCTAACCACGTGGTTGACACGACCGACTTGAATGACTATAGGATTTAAAGCATTATTCTCACTGGAATAAATGTGTAAACAGTACTCAAGCAGACTAAGAAGTGCCTAGTACTTGCCACTTGAAGGTGTGGTTTTCATAGCATTCATGTGCCTATTCTTATATAAAACCGCGAAAAAAGCATTATTCCAAGAACAAAGCTGAACTAAGAACAACCTATAAATACATTCTAATGAACAGGCACCAGTATGTCACTTAGAAACCGGTTTTTGTTTTAATTGTTAATTGATCAAGTAGACTAAACTTGAATAAACATAAAAATTATTGAATTAATTTACTTAGAGACGCAATTATGACACATCCAGTGTGGACCTCTAAAATTTATATAGAACTCGATCATATTCTTTGTGATATATACAATTTACATACTTTGTTGACAAAAACTATTATCTCTTTGGAATGCAAAGGCACGCCTTAAGAAAGTACTTTTGATTAATAATTTGTTATTTTTCATATTGGTTTTTTTACCCGTATTTAGTTAAATAACTGAATAGATGGGGTATCGCAACGCCTCTCAGGTGCTACTGACAGAATTATTTTGTTTTTTTAAAAAAATAACCTTTTGTAATTTTTAAATCTGATACAGTTTTTATTAATTACACACAAATATTAATATGCGCGGGCACACACAGAAATACGTGATAGCGACATACAAACATTTTCAGAAAAAATAAGTTAAAATTATTCTTATTTTTTCCTTCACTATGTTTCAGGCCATTTTAGACTTGCAAGGAATGTTGTATAGATGAAATTCAGGTGCTCAAGCCAAAAACATTTTGATTTTAACCACACACCCGTCGTCTGTAGATAGTTTTGGACACGGTAGTTATCCATTAAAAACAATGGCCATTGTATCATAGCGCTAGACATCAAAATATACTAGATTACATTATTTTTTATTATTTAGTTATCAACATCCGTTCTTTATTCAAAAATTTTATCTTTTGTAATTTTTTAAATTTGATACAATTTTTATAAACCTTATTTAATGCTCTAATTTGTCTCTTGACATTGTGGTGTTTAACGCATAAAGTAGTGAAGCATGTTTTGAATTTCGCGCAAAGCTACACGATGGCTATGTGCACTAGTCGTCC